TGTGTGACTCTCTCTCTCTCTCTCTCTCTCTCTCTCTCTCTCTCTCTCTCTCTCTAACACGCATTCGTGACGCATGGAGAACGGTATAAGAACAGCGAGGATCCGTGCACTTATCAAGAGGCGGGACGGGACTCTTGCAAGTGTCGTACGAAGATTGAGAGAGATAATTAGTGAAACATTTATTCATGTTTTGCGCTGCACTGTTATACTCTCATTATACGTGAAGTCATGCTGGTCGCTGTTAAAGGGGTCATATGATGCTGCTAAAAAGAACATTATTTGCAACAATACTACAGCGAGAATAAAAGTTACGCCTTCTTTCTTTGCGTGAACATTTGGGCAGCGTTATGCAAATCTTCCCACATCGTGACGTAGATATGTGGGGGCATGTTAGAACGAGCCGTTTTAGGTAGGTGTGGCTGACTCTTAACTTTTATAAAGAATATCTCTTTGGATTTGAGACTTTAGTCTTTGCAACTTTACAGATCTTCTTTATGCACCAAGAGCTTGTAACACTCCAAAGAGAAAGGAAAAATTTAAATCGCATCATATGACCCCTTTAAACACTTAAAGGGGCTCATCACTGCTGGGAGACTCACATTAATAATGTGCATCTATTTTGTCATCCAACTCTTTCATTTAGGCTATTTACAATATCTCTGAAATTTAATGCTGCTCTTCGACTTAATGTGAAAAACTTCTGTGGACTTAATAAAAAATCACTTATACACTCTCAGAAAAAAAGGTACAAAAGCTGTCACTGGGGCGGTACCTTTTTAAAAGGTACACTTTTTTACCTTTTAGGTACTAATATGTACCTTTAAGGTACAAATATGGACTCTTTAGGTACAAAGGTGTGCCTTTTGAAAAGGTACCGCCCCAGTGACAGCTTTTGCACTTTTTTTTCTGAGAGTATAGCGATTCAAAAAAGTTAATTAAGCAATATCTCACTAGCAAGAATCCAAATGTGGCCTTCAAGTGGAAATATCGAGTTCCACAGCTAACAGGGAACGTTCTCAGTTCTGGCAAGTTTCCCTCTGTGTTATGAACAAACATCCAGTGACGTTAATAGAACATTCGTTCAAAGTTATGTGGTCTTTAATGATGTTCTTAAAACAGCACAAAATATTATTTATACATCGTTCATGGTGTTTGTCTTTTCCATAGAATGTTTGTTCATCTAATGTTTTTTTTGTTAGGCTACCACATTCAAAAGTAGGGGAGGGGTGAAAGTACCATTAAAAAAAAAAAAGGTAATTTTAAAAGATGTTTTAGACAGATATATTTTGCTGTGGTCAGTAACTCATAAGTGTGATCTATCAATACCAGGTGGTATTTTGTACAAATGTAGAACGACTTCAGTATAATTTCACTTTGAACACAAGTTGCACATTGTTACTTTTGACCCTATCGGTTGGGACTAAAGTAACACAAAAATTCAAGCTAGATTTTTTTGTGTTACTCTTGTTTTTATTATATATGCCTGACTATGACCTTGTTAACTGCAAACATATTTTGTCTTTGCAAAAAATAAAATGTTACATTTCGGTTTAATCAATGTTTCAAAAGTAACCCGACAGTACAAACTTGAATTGTTTAGAATATATATTTTTTTATTGGCTGTCAATCCATTTTATACAACTTTTTTTTTTCAAAAGTATGAACAATATGAAAATTACATTAAATTAGCATAATATAAATTCTCGACATAATTTAACAGTAGTCATGTTTCCATCCAGTTGTTTTTATGCATAAATTCAAAATGTGCATAAAACATCAGGATGCATACAGTGCAAATTCATAGGTGGAGGTGAAAAAGATAAGGTATGGCTAAAACCTAAAAGTGACTGAGGTAAATGGAAACAGATTGAGTTAATAAATGGTCACATACAGAAATCAGCTGATTTAAATGTGACTCAAACTTCCGCTCCAGGAGAGAGGAAAAATGGCTGAATCAGACGTCTGTCTGTCTTTCCGACCCTCACTCTTGGCCTATTCTGTTGGTATAATATGACATAAATATTTTAATAAATGCTGCAAGACACAGAAAGTCACCACATTAGCAGCGGGACAAGAGAAACACTGGTCACTGTAGCGGGACAAAAGTAACAAGTGTTACTTCCGTCCCGACAGGAACTCCTGACATTTAAACCTGATTTACTTTTATACTGAAGAACTCTGACAATGCAAACTTCAGGATTTGTTACAGTACTAAATTACCTGTAGATTGACCATTACTGTGACACATGAAACGAGAAACACAATTTGTAATTAGAAAAAAGTACCGCTTCAGTAATTTACTTACCGTACTCGAAAAAAGCTTTCCGGTGTTCTAACCGCGGGAAACGATGATCAAATCACGTGATATTTGCCAGCTCCATCAAGGGATGCGTTCTGAACGTGCTGTCGTAGCTTGAAATGCAAACATGTAGTCAGAGCTCTGAGAAAATCGCTTTGTTACTTTCGCCCCTAACGAAAGATTCCCCCCTAACATTCCCATAATGTTTGCAAAATTATCAAATGGAACGTTCCTTTAACGTTTAAACGGTCCCTTAAAACATTTAAAAAACAGCATTAATGTTTTTATAACTAAAATTGGAACATTAGCAAAACGTTCTTAGAACATATTTTTGTTAGCTGGGTCATTATCCAAACCTAACTGATTTATCATGTATATATTATAACTAAACCATAACAGAAGTACTTGTTTTCGTGTCCTTAAATGTTATTGGCCAAAAGGTGTTTACGGCGTTCCAACCCCTCGGTGAATGAGGAAAACGTCATGCATTCATGTTGAAAAATAATACATTAGTTTTGTTTTTATTATTATTATTACTATATTTTACAATTATGTTATATTATTTGATCTATATCCATTTTATGCATGCTAACATAATCATTATTTCAAATAAAGCAAACCGTGAAAGGTGATTGATTAACTATACATTTGTATGTTCATTCATACATAATGTCTTGTAATTGAAATACAGCATAGAAAATTATTAAACTAATTTTGCATCACTCGTTACCATTGACAACCGACTTGTTTGCCGCCATATTTCGCATCACATCATCATTTACATTTTATACAAATTTTTGTATGAAAGAACAAAATAATTTAAATAAATTTCAAAACTTGCCTTTAATTTTTCTTGTAGCAACACACCTTGTTCACTGCAGAGATAATGACATTGCGCTATAATGTATTACATAACTGTTCTTAGTACACACCAGCCAAAAGGGTCTATGGACATTTTATGCATAAAAAAGGTATTCGGTAAGGTAATCTATACTGTCATCTAGAAGTCATATGCAGTAGGTGAATCTGATCCTCAACTTTCAATTGCTTCTGCCATGAAATCAAGTGATTTTGCGCTCAACAGCTCAGATATAAGGAACACCATTAATAAAATGACATTACAATAAGCTGTTTAGAATGATGAAAGCTGTAATGTATGTCCAGGATTATCTATGTGGGCCGTCTCCCATTCCACTTCACTCTAATCCTTTTCTGCAACACAGCTGTGCACAAATACAATGTAAAAAATGAATTCAAAGCATGAATATGTCATTGTATTATGACAAAACAGGTGTGGAACAAACTGAGCTGAACCGTAGTCACATGGTTGGGGTGGTCAGGGTGGGTTGAGATTATCGTTCTCATCCTGAGCACATATTTCTCTGCTGAAATCTCAGTCCTGGATTATAGAGTAGCTGCTGGACAGCGAGAGAGATGGCAGAGGAGCTGACAGAGTATCAGAGAGGGTACTAATGGAAAGTGCATCCCATTGTGCTCATGTTAACTCCACAGTCAATGACAACAGCAGCAGCATCAGCGAGGGTCCAAGCAAGTCTCCAGCAGAATCGCCAACTGAAAATTAATTAACCGTCATCGTGAGAGTTTATCTAGAATACCTTTGGATATTTCATGTGTAGGATGTTGTTGTGCCTTACAGTTCAGATTTATAGTCTCCTTCTTGATCCTGGGATTTTCTGTTAAAAAACAAAAAAATCTTTAGTTAAACTGTACAAGTTATCAATAAAAACACATAAAACATAGAAATAAAAAAAGCATAGAAATATGTAACCTTAAAGGTGCACTCAGTATTTTGGTTATGTTGAACTTGCTGATATTCTGGTCATCATGGACCTATACAGACATCTAGTGGTGCGAATGCACCATCACGCAAAAGTGAGTTAGCAGTTATTAATGCCATTGTAGACATGCCCTATTTGCATTCAGCCATGATTAATAGTGCTGCAGGGATTTTTGTAGGCCAAAACCAAAAAACAAGTTTGCATTGTCCTGAAGTCAATGGGTTTTTTGAATGGGGTTTGGTTAAATGCATAAAATAAGATCTGTGTTTAACACAAGCTCAAGATATTTTCATGTTTTGTTCTACAACATAAAACACATTAGTAATAACCCCTTTTAAAGCTTTTACATTTATTGAAAAAGGCGGTTGCTAATAAGTGGCTAAATGGGACTATAGAGGTTGCCATTAAACTTCATCACGTCATTGCTGGTCATGTGATCTCAACATGGCAGCCGGTTATGCATGTTGGTATCACAAACTGACCATACACTGTGCGCCGTTATTTTTGTTAGTTTTTTTTTTGTCTACTGATCAAACACGATGTCTTTTGAAAATAAACACCTAACAGCGATTACATCTCACTAAACAGTATGGGGCATTTAATTACTGGGTACAAACAAAATACTGTAAGAAATAAGAATGTTTGGGAATGGTCTGAACATTTTAATGCACGCGAGTGCTGGATAAAGACAAAACACAGTGTCAGATGTGGATCCAGCATTGTGAAGCAGACACATCTTAGGTAGAAAGCGAACAGTATGAGGCATCTGAGTGTTGGCTACAGACCACATGAATTGTGTGTGATGCATCT